GCACCGCGGCCGCGTCTCATGTTTGCAACGCGGTGTTTATCTCGCGATGGATCGTCGACTGAAAATATTAAAATCATTACATTAATATAACGATCATTGTCACACCAATGAAAGAAGAAATGTATCTATCTATACTATTATAATAAAGCATAAACACACACTTCTTTGTTGCCTAACATGTCAGCAATTACAGCATATTTTTGAATAATTCTTTTTTTAATAAAACGCCCTACACTTACGTCAGGCTTTAGGCTATATATTTTCACGCCAAACTTAGGGAGTAAATATTTTGATAAAAACCCTAATGTGGAAAAGAGACCATATGTTGCTGCCAACATCAAGGAAGGGAGACTGTCAAGGTTTGTCATGTCATATCATTTTGAAATTTGCTATTGATAATTTGACTATTATAAACAATAATATAAAATAGTCATAATTTCATGCGGATGAAGCCGCATGAGAACAGCTAGTTATCTATAATTCTATGTCTATCTTTTATACTAATATAATAAAGCGTAATTTTGTAGCAAGTCAGCAATCTTATTCCATACATACTTAGTTTTATTTACATTTACCCGTAGCATGGAGGGCGCTAGTTCATAAGCTATTTAACCTCCGACTACAAATCTATACATGAATTATGTTATTGCTTTAATACATCCTGCTTGAAGGACCAGAAATATTAGTATCAAACATAAAACATATCCTTTCCTTTATAAGTAATTAATTCTAATAAAAAGCATTTGCATCATAACTATTCAGTGACTATATCAAGGTAACACAATGAAAATTGTACTCTATCTCGATATAAATAAGGTTTGTAACTCACGAGCTCCTCGAGCTGCCTCGCGAGCTGGTCGTTGAGCGCCTGCAGCACCTGCCGCTGGCCGTCCTGCGCCGCCAGCGCCAGCTCCAACTGGCTCTGCGCGAGTTTAGCCTCTGCGTCCTATACAATAGAGTCGCATTTACATTAACAACTTCTATACACAAGTACTAAACATTAGTATATTTTTTATAATAAGTCATTGTAACAGTGAAATTTGAGTGATATTTGTCGTCTCTGTTTTCCAAAGAGAACGAGAGAGATGACAATATTATTTTATACCAGTTCTTTGACGTTGAGTGACAAATTCGACATTACATTTAAAATGAGTAAGAAGCCAAATGAGTTAGACTTTATGAAAAACGGTACGTAAAATCTCAAGCTTTTTTTTTTTATAATATAAGATGGCAAACGAGCAAGCGGCCACCTGAATCCGCCAAAATGGCGAAGCGTACGCTGCCCATAGACATCTGCAATTGCAGATGCGTCGCCTACCTTTATCCGACGGAGGAGGAGACGCACATAAAGAGGGTATTTCCTCTTCCTATGCATCTCCTCCATCGTCAAATCCACTTCCCCTTCCCATCCTCTCATAAGAAAAGGGTGGTAAAGAGAAAAGGACTTAAATTAGGCCTCCGGCACCACACTCATCAGACGAAACACGGCATTGGTTCCATTTCACGCCTGTCTTCTGTGTGGTCGTGGTATTACACCGGGCGTGCCGGCCCATTCGTGCTAAGATGTTAAAGCGGGCACTACCACTGTTAAATTTATTAATTATAAAATTTTTAAAATTAAAGCTTTGTTAATAGTACACTAAATGTCCTTCCAGACTCTACATCTATGCCAAATTTCATAGAAATCTAGCCGTTTAGGCTAGAAACTCTAACAATCAGCCATCCATCTAAACTTTCGCATTTACAGTATTAGTAAGAATGTTAACTGTATAACCTGACCTGTTCACTCTTCTTGGACTTGGTGATCTGAGCCAGTTCTTCATTCTTCTGCGCCAGTTCCGCCTCCAGCTGCGCCACGCGCTGTCGTAGCTGTTCCACTTCGTTCGCATCACCACCTGGAAATCATCATTTTGTGACATCAATGATCTATAATTGATAGCTTATGCAATTTTATTTTTCTAACGTTGTGACTTCATGGTTGTATTTATTTGTGATTTTATGGGTATTTTCGGATGACATTGTTTCCCATTCAGTCAATCGAATCGATAAAAACATCGACTACAGCAAAAAAGTCCCATTGATTCCATCGATCGTTGGGCCAATCGGTCCATTGGGAAACATCCAATGTTAAAAATAGTCTATGTTAGTCAGGAATATTTTAACATTCTAATGATCAATGACTTTCTGAAATCAGCGCAATCTATTTCGTCCATCAGAAATATACAAGAATATAAAACTTGTTTTCAACAGCTATTTATTACAGAGTAGGTATACTATAATCACACACAAACACACACGTCTTAAGCTTCAGATGTCTTCGGTTTTGTAAATGCTTTTGCTATCTATCTCGTTCTCTCAACACCTCTTCCTATACCACTATCTCGCTCACCTTTCCCCGCGTAGTGACGTGCGCGAGCGACCTCCTCCCTATACTGGTGTAGTTGCCGCTTCCATTCATCCACGTTCGCTGTACTCTCTTGCAGCGCGGCAGTCAAACGGAGATTGTTGCTCTTTAGTGTTGCCAATTCCACTTCCCACTTCTTTGCATTCGCTGAACTGTAGATAAAGGGGAAAGTTAGTAACTCAATTACCTTGGCAATTTCTTCTTCTTTTGGTGCCGTCTCCTAACGAAGGTTGGCAACATTACAGCAACTTGAAGTGCGGACACCGTAGCTAATATAGAACGAGTACTTCTGTTGTACCATTGGAGAAGATTACAAGCCACGATGTTCTTCTCCTTCCTGGACTTGACAGTTTGATTGGTTTCAAATCCGTTACTGAGTTACCATTATAAGATTGTCATCTCTATTTTTAACAATAAGACTGAAAGGGACGAAAATAAAAAAAAAAGATCTACTCTTGTAAATGAGAGGACTGTAGGATATTTTAATTCTGACTGTTATAGACATCAACATAGCTATATATCTAACTAATATTACAAATGCGAAAGTTTAGATGGTTGGATGTTTGTAAGAGTTTGTAGCCTAAACGGCTGAACGTATCTGGATGAAATTTAGCATAGATGTAGAGCAGTCTGGAAGAACACATAGGATGGTTGCTTTTGTTTTTTAATTCCATGCGGACGGTGTCGCGGGAGAAAGGTTGTTTCACCATAAACATGTGTCATCATACTGTTTTCGGTATAGGTATTTTTTTATTTATGAAGAACGCATTAGACAAACATAATGATTATTGTCAAAAATCACAGTATAATAACTTCATCATCATCTCCCCTGCATTATCCTACTCCTGTAGGGTCGGCGCGCCGGGTTTTCGTCCTCCAAAGCACTCTATCATCCGTCATCTCAGTCATCACTCCCTTCTTGATCATGTCACCTTTCACGCAATCCATTCATCTCTTTCTAGGTCTACCTCTACCGATGTACCCCTCCACATTCATAACTAACGTCCGTCTTGTTACATGCGATTCATCCCTTCTCATAACATGTCCATACCTCTCTAACCTTTTACTCCTTATTTTCTCAATATAATATATATGTATAATAATTTGTATGTTTAAATTAAAATCAATTTTTTCAATCAATTTCAATAGAAACACTATTTTTTTTATGGTTAGACATAAACAATTGATCTTTCTTACATATTTTTCACCAATCGAACATGTCGACATTACATAAACAAGCGATGCGTTCCAAATACAACGCTCGCGTAATACGATCAAGATATCTCCGCACCAATTGCTCCACTATTAATTACCAATTGTTGATCATCTATGCGTTTTCCTTCGGTTATATTTTTAATTATCTCAATTAATGTTATAAAATATAAGACACTAGCTTGCACTCGCGACTCCGTTCGGGTGGAATTGAAATAAACAAAAGTGAGTAGCCTATGTGTTGAACCAGACTATCCATTACATCTATGCCAAATTTCATTGAAATCCGTTCAGCCGTTTGGGTTACAAACTCTGACAAACATACATCCATCTAAACTTTCGCATTTATAATAGTAAGAAGATATCAGTATTTAGAGGTATTATGTAAATTATAATTGAAGCACAGAAATGCGTTCTCATGCGTAGAGTTGCACAAAACTATTATTATCGTTATAATAAATAGCAAAGATTAAATAAAGAGGTCGGCAGTTTTATTGGCTAACCGTCCGTGTTGATCGATGTCTGCTTTTCCGGTATTCAATAAGTGGCGTGAAGATCTCAATTTCCCGAACAGACAGCTCTATATTCTACGTTTGGTTGCGTAAAATGCGATCGACGGAGACGAGAACAATCACGAAAGATGTATAGGGTTGTCAGATATGTTCTGTTTTTTTTGACAACCCTACTACAATATAAAGACTTTTGTAGGTGTAATAAAATCAAGCAAAAAAAAAAACCATTTTTCTGTTATTTTTTATCGGCATTATTACGAGGCATACAAACCGGTATATGATAAACATCCATACTATAGTAACATTTACTATCCGCCAAACATTTAACCGATATCTTCTTTACTTACTTTTTTTAATTCTAGCGAAAAGACTACTTTGTTAGTTACAATTGCCACTTTACTGCAAGATTATCTTACTTCTTACAAAATGTAGTAAAGCTTCTTACTAAAACTTACTTCTTACTTAATTCGTGATAAATACAAAAGTTTAGATGGATAGATGTTTCTTAGAGTTTGCAGCCTAAACTGCTGGACGGATCTCGTTGAAATTTGGCATAAATGTAGAACATAGTCTAGAACAGAGGGTACTTACAAGTTTTTTTTTATCCCACGGACCCATCATCCGGACGGAGTCACGGGCAAGAGCTATATAAAACACATCCGATGACCATTGACAAAACTGTTAAGGCATCGCAGTTCGAAAGTGAGAAATCTATCGTCATGACTTGACAAAGTTTGAACGAATCTATTTACGTAACACCGCGAGTCTAAAGTGAAGTGTAATTTTCTTGTTTAAAATGTCATAATAAGAATAACAACCGTAATCATAAAAACATTGGATAAGCAGAAAGATGAAGATGATGATGATAATAAAATTATAGCCTGTGCTACTCATTGGCAACGTAGCTTTTTAATGGTCAATATTTGAAATCGGTCCGTAAGAATTTGAGTTATTTGAATACATAAAGAAACACAAATCTTTCCTCTTTATTACAAGCTGTTGCTCGCGACTTCGCAAGCGTGAAATTAAAAAAATAATAAATAATATAGTTTATGTTACTCACTGATAACGTAGCATTTTAATTTTAAAAGAATTTTTGAAAACGCCGCAGTAGTTTCTGAGTTATTTCAATACATACAAAAATACAAATCTTTCCTGTTTATAACAGTGTAGATTTTCATAGTAGGTCATGCAATAAAATTAAGCTATACTTATAACTGCTGCTTAGATTACTTTGTAACGTAACGGATTACAAGTCATATTGGTTCAGTGACTTGTACCCTATGATTTATCATCGAGCAAATCTATCAAGTGGAAATTACTGTGGAAATTTTTCAAAGCATACTTCGAAACAGAAAAACGTATACGTATAAGCCACTAGTGTTATATGAATACTAGTATTTTAAAGAACTAACTATAGGTTTACTCTATACTAGCTGTTGCTCACGACTTCGCCCGCGTGATTTTAGCTACATATATACTTTTGGAACATAGCTTTAATGGTGTAAAAATTTTTGAAATGGATCGAATTTTTTTTTGGCAAATATTAAAATACGGTTATGTAAACATAAAACGCTACCACAATAAGTGCACACCTTTATAGCGGGCGCACACTTTTGACTAAATAATCGCACAACCGTTGTGAGACTGTCGATTGTTTCGCTACTTCAACTGTTTAGTTGCATAACAATACTGTTAATAACAATAAAATAACAATGACAAACTGTTTAGTTGCATAATAATAAAATCGAGTAGCGCGGCTCAATATAAGCTCATATTAATCAAAGCGAGAAACAGTTGTGCGATAGTTTTTTTCACATTGTACAGTGCAAGTTTCCGCACAACATAAACTGCAATTAAAAATGTCTTCGACAACAATCCGCATATACTGTTATGCAAATTAAGTTTCGCTGTCGTAAAATATTAAAACTGTCGACTATCGTATTTAACCGACTTCCTAAAATGAGGTTATCAAATAATCTGTATTTTAATATTTGTACTATTTAAAAAAAAAAACATAAGTGAGTAGCCTATGTGTTTTTTTCAGATTACACTCTACGTCTATGCCAAATTTCATCGAAATCCGTTCAGCCGTTTAGGTTACAAACTCTAACAAACACATCCATCTAAACTTTCGCATTTATATTAGTATGATTAATTAAAAAACACTAACTGTTGCTGGCGACTTCGTCCCCGTGAAATTTAAAAAAAATGACAAATACTGTCTAAGTCACTCACTGCTAAAGTAGCTTTTTTAAGGTGACTGCATTTTTTAATGAAAAAAAAAATGGTATGATGGATTTGAAACAACTACCTTAAAGGCATAAATATTGTACTTCGAAGTTACAAGCTTTAACGTTACCATTATGTTAAGAATCAGACTTAGCATCTTCCCCTTCTAGGTCTAGTGACCAATATACTAAGGGGGGGATGGAATTAACTATTTCTCGGGTATAAGTGCGTGCGCACACGTAAATCGTTTTACATTCAATCTTTGTACATCATAATATTTTGTTGCTTTTTTTTTCTTTTTTTGTGCATCATGGCTTTCTTAATTGTGAGTATTTATCAATAGTGTTATGTGCCAGTTTTATTTTTAATTTTTTTTTAAATTAAATCTTGTAAGATTATTTATGGATGAAATGAAGTGATTTAATTGATTTATTAATAACTAGCTTTTTCCCGCGACTCCGTCCGCGTGGTATTGGAAAAAACAAAAGTGAATAGCCTATGTGTTCTTCCAGACTATATTATACATCTATGGCAAATTTTATCGAAATCCGTTCAGCAGTTTAGGCTACAAACTCAAACAAACATCCATCCATCCAAACTTTCACATCACATTTATAACATTAGTAAGATGGTTGTGAATTTTACATAATGACGGTGTAACTTAGTTTATCTTTCTATAGCGAATATCAATAAATCTATGGATTTATTTAGAACATATGACATAAAGACTTACAAGTAATTGGTTATAGATAAAATAATAAAAACTTTGCTATATAAACCTAATCAATTAAAATAACTTAAAGCACTAAACGATTTTGATGATCGCATGTTTATTAGAAAATACATCCAGAGCAACTTAACATATCTCGATAAAATTTATCACAGATGTACAGTCTGAAAGAACACATTGACTACTTATTTTTTTTATTATTAATCGAGTACGAAATCGCGGGCAAAAGCCAGTAATAATTCATAACAATTAACATGAAGTCTTCCTAGTTTTTAACCGTTTCTTGGTTCGAAAACATTACGTAACATGGTATGGTTAAAGTTGACTGATTACCCAGAAATAAGTCGTTACCCGTTAAACAGGTAACAGTTAAATTTAACTGCTATTCGTTATAACTGCTATTTTAATAAATTGCATATATGTATGAGATTTTTATACTATTCTTACTTGTTTACGGTTATTCATG